CCTTTCTTTGGCATCTTGATGAGGTGTTCTTCTTTCCAGTCTGTCTGTGGCACTTGTTCTTCCTCTCAAATCCTCCTGAATAGAACATGGATCATGTTTGCAGTTGATTCTGTGTCTAACTTCAGATCTTGTTGTTTTCCCACTCTTGATTTGTCTGATGACCGGTCATCCTGATTTCTTCGATCGTTGGTAGAGTGACATTTATAGGGATGTGTGCGTGTGCTGCTTAGATGTCCGGTAGATTCAATGGAGCTAGTCTATTCAAGATTTCCTAGAAGTATCATACCCATCTGTCCCTCTGTTCCTGAATCTCGGTGATTATCTTGCCTCCTTTGTCCTTTACCAGTCTCTGGTTTACTATATTTCACTTCTAGTTTCTTCATTATATCATATAGTTGTTTCATATTTCCTTCTCTTGCAGCTTTTTTTTATTGTCGTTGCTAGGTCTTCCAAGCATTTGTTTTGTAGACTCTAATGCTCCTCTTCACTCTCTTGCTCGCTTCTTTGTACCTGCAATCAATCATTTTAAAATACACAATATAATGTTAAATTGATCATTTTATTAATCACATAACAAACTTAGTTGTTAAAACACTATCGTTCAAGAGGACTCATCAATATAAATAATTTTTGTTTGCTTTTAAATTAATAAATAATTACTAAATCTTTGGAACGATTAGTCCGTTTGATAAACTTCCATAATGCAATGAGAAGATGAAGTTTATCAAAATCATGTGATATATTTGCGCAATACATTTCGAACAATCTGATCACAAATATACTTCCAATGGTCAAATAAGATCACAGGATAGACGGACATCATTCTTCATTGCAAAACATTTGATTTAGACTAGTCATAAGGTTGACATCAAGTCAGCATTTGTAGTGTTGTACAAAAGTCCTGAAGGACGTATACTACGGTTTATTGAAGCCTTGTCTACACGGAAACTGGAACCCCCTTTATGCGTTCAAAAACAATTTGTACTTAACCTTAACCTACCCTGGTAATACTGATTTATTATCCAAAGTGTTTATCACATTATTTTTGTGTACTTTATTATTATTTTTTCCGTTGTTACGGCTTACCTTTAACCTGTCTAGATGACCTTTTAATTTCCATATAGAAATGTCTTAACTTATAATAAAATATTGCTAATATATGGCAAATAGTTATACTTTTGAAATGATGGCAAATATTTGTAGTTTAACAAAAGAATTTTAAAGGTATTGCTTTTGTTGGGTTGTATGGTTTAATCGGGATTTCTTTACTGATTCCTAAACATCAGGATATCATACTTTTAATAATTGTGAGAGCTTATGCTTCATTATCGAAACATACGTTTTGTTGAGATAAATGAATGATCGTCTAAGCTGAAAATAATGTAAATTCTTTCGCGAAAAGAATTGCAGTGCTCTAGAGCATTCTTTATCCAGAAACTTCATAGGACTGTTACTAATGTTTAAGACTATCCCACATAGCATCCACGGTATTGTTATGGTAGTAAGAGTTGGGATTAAAGTTATAGTTAGTCAACACAAACACCGTTGAATTCAAGACAGAAAAAACCATATTCAGCTTGAGAAATATCACTGAATGGTTGCGGGATACAAGTTTCACGAAATATAAATGAGTGATAAATATCTGTATAAATTAACTGCAACAACATATAAAGTATTAGCGTGAAATGTATTTCGAATCGCAAATCTATATAATTTTTCTTTTGCATATGGTAAAACAAGCTATCATGAACATTTGATTAGTGTCAATGGTCATAGTAAATGATGGGTTTATCCTTGCTTTACTTGTTAGTACAAATATGACCATAAATAAGCATCGTGCTATTTTCATTTCCATTATCAACACTGTTGAGTATCGTGAGAATGAAATTTAAACTTACTTGAAGTATGAGGACTTGAAATAATGGATATCAATGATTAGGCTTATTTTTCTAAATTAGAAGAAATCAGTTGACAACAATTCACTTGAAAACTTATTCTAATCTCGATACTCACAGACATCTTTAACTCTCAATATTATTGAATACAAGGGTGATGTCGAAAATTGAAAGCACTCGTACCAAGTTCAGATAAATGGTTATGTGGTAATCATCATCAGCCGAATTATATACTGTGAATAAAATGTTTTATAAATCTCGTCGAGTAAATGCAAAAACATATTATACTGGTGAATAGCATAAAACTTAAAAAATGTACATTGTCGATTAAACTAACGCCTGTGTTCACATCAGCTAACAACTCTATACATACAACTGTACACATAATGTCAACTTATTTATTCAACACTCTCAAAATACTCATGAGTAGTGTTAAATTTAGATTTATAATTTATTCGTATTCACTGTATTCACAAATAATTGAAATACTCTGGAATCACCTTGAAGATGTCCAGACAAGTCAGCTGCGCGAAAAGTTGGCACCATTTAAATTTCAATCGCTGAGATTATTTCTAATATAATTTTCACATTAAAATAGTAATAAGAGTTCATTATTGATTGTTCATTAGCTTCAGAAAAGCCATCATTGTATGAGAAGTGTTAGGAGATTAAACATAGAGGACAAAGCTCTATTGAAAATGATTATTTAGATTAGTGAATAGAGTAAAAGATTTTCTAGTTTACAATTAGAAAACACTCAAATTCAGTGTTTATCTAGTATGGTCAAGCAAAAACATACAAATCATATACAAAGATGACCATCTATAAATATTGTTCGTATGAACGGAATGTATACAATACTTGCGTTATCTGTGACAATAAATCTAATTTGAATGATATTTTACTCATTTTGAGCATCACAAACACCGATTAAATGTACTCTTGAAGAAGGAAAATGATTCAAGCTTTCACTTCTTTAATTTTGAGATGGAGATATGATGAGATGGGAAGTCACGATTACCTGTTTACAAGAAACCAGTATGGAATATTTAGTTATTAATTTTTTATACTTAGGTCCCTATCGGTAGGAAGAGAAATTTTATTATATCTCTCCCTACACTGATTAAATGAATCTGTCCTCTCAAGTTAATGGGTTAGGACTTGACTTTTATGAGATGGCGGCCGAAAATATGTTTCCTCCGAGATTTATTTATGAATATATGAATCTTATATCTCTAGGGGAATCTGCACCAAAGAACTAATGTCGATTTTAAAAGCAATTGATTTACCGATATCCTGAAATAGGATCTCAGACTCTCTCAATAGGACGTTTACTACTACAAAGCTGAGAATAGTATTTGCCTGTCAGCCTTTATTTACCAACAAATAAAAGGACAAAACGAAGCGTTCGGACCCTTCAATATGTATTTATTGGGAGGTTGAAAGTAGTCGAAAGGAAATACTGAGCCTTGGATTCTCGCTATTTAGCACTCAGCATTAATATGTACTTGAACCCTAAAGTCACATGTTTTGAGTTATAAATATTCAGTATTCTACCATCTTCTACATAATGCTGGATTCGTTGCTATATACATAAAAATACAAGAACTATGTATATGAAAATAGTTTGTCTAATCTTCTTATCTTACCATCAATTTGAACTGTTAATCTCTATTTATCAAATAATAATTTAATTTAATTCATCTTTTATTAATTTCATATGAAATTTATGGATTATATACCTTTTGTCTCTTTTACTTTGAAGTTCTGTTAACCCAACAAGGTTTACTTTTATTTTTATATTCTTATCAAATCTATCCATCTATCTATCTATCTATCTATCTATCTATCTATCTATCTATCTATCTATCTATCTATCTATCTATCTATCTATCTATCTATCTATCTATCTATCTATCTATCTATCTATCTATCTATCTATCTATCTATCTATCTATCTATCTATCTATCTATCTATCTATCTATCTATCTATCTATCTATCTATCTATCTATCTATCTATCTATCTATCTATCTATCTATCTATCTATCTATCTATCTATCTATCTATCTATCTATCTATCTATCTATCTATCTATCTATCTATCTATCTATCTATCTATCTATCTATCTATCTATCTATCTATCTATCTATCTATCTATCTATCTATCTATCTATCTATCTATCTATCTATCTATCTATCTATCTATCTATCTATCTATCTATCTATCTATCTATCTATCTATCTATCTATCTATCTATCTATCTATCTATCTATCTATCTATCTATCTATCTATCTATCTATCTATCTATCTATCTATCTATCTATCTATCTATCTATCTATCTATCTATCTATCTATCTATCTATCTATCTATCTATCTATCTATCTATCTATCTATCTATCTATCTATCTATCTATCTATCTATCTATCTATCTATCTATCTATCTATCTATCTATCTATCTATCTATCTATCTATCTATCTATCTATCTATCTATCTATCTATCTATCTATCTATCTATCTATCTATCTATCTATCTATCTATCTATCTATCTATCTATCTATCTATCTATCTATCTATCTATCTATCTATCTATCTATCTATCTATCTATCTATCTATCTATCTATCTATCTACACATCTATCTATCTATTTACCAGTGGTCACATTACATGATGGTTATTCATATTCATCTCCATTCACTAATCTTAAGGCTATCATGTAACTTTTAAATAACTGACATCATTACAACAACAACAACAACCTATAAATAATTTTTGTTGCCTCCTTGTCAATCATTCATTCAGTTGACAACAGTCAATTAATTTGCCAAAAAAAAATGAGTGCAATTAATGTATAAACGTCATTAAATAAACAAACAAACAAGCAAATCATATTTTACAATTAATGAATATTATTATACCAACGGAATTTATCTGAAAAAAGTATAATGAACTTATTATTAATCATAAATAAATAAATAAAAAAAAAACCCAATAATTCTATTCCGTTGATTCAATTAACTATAAAAACATTTCTAAAAATGTTTACTTGTTAGTTTTTCTTTCTTTTCTTTTTTTCTCTTTTTTTTTCTTTATTTACAAAGGAGATTGCATTATCATCATTATCATAATGAATAAATCATTATTATTATTATTATTACTATTCTATTTCACCTCATGTAATTTTTTGACCATGGCGTATAGTGGATATGGAAATCAACGTGGACAAAGTTATATAAATCCTGATTATCAACAATCTTATCAAAATAATAAATATAATGGTGATGACTATACTAAAAAATATATAAGTAGTGATTATGATTCGACTACAAATAATGAATACGGTAATAAATATGGTAATGATTATGTTAAAGTTCAAAAGAAGAATAATTATGACAGTTCCAATTATCAACCAACGTCTTATGATTCATATACCGGTTATAATGGGGATAATTACAATAATAATAATAATGATTATAAGAATAACGATTATACACCAACAAATAATAATTACCAAGCAAATAATTATCAAGATTATGGATCCAGTGATGTATCACCTACCAGTGAATATGGTATTGGTTCAATTGGTACTGGAGTTATGTCCGGTTCTAAGTATAGTCATACTCATTTAAATATTCATGGTAAAATGACTGGTGTTGGACATCAAGATTATGGTGTACATTATTTATCATTGACTAAATTCCGTAAAGGTGGTGGCTATGATATCTATGGAAAAAACGACAGTTTTTAGATTATGATACAACAGGACATGTGAAAAATATGGTAATCAACAAATGAAAGCGAAATTTGAAGTTGTTGGTAAATTGCATGGACAATCATCATTCAAGGATAAATCAAGTTTCAAACCAAGCGGTGGTAATTATGGTGGGAACGGAAACGGTGGTCAAACCTACTGAAGACTAAAACAATAAAACATACTAGTGAATAAGGAACAGGATCATTATTATTAATAATAAAATAAATATATTTATTATCATTAAAAAGTATTGTTTGTTATTGACATAACCAATAAACACTTGATTAAATTGCATGAAGTACTTGTGATATTACAAGAATAAACGAAGTATGCTCAACAGTACCGAAGTATTTGATTCAGTTTTCGATATGTGCTAATAACGTTTATGGAAACCATTAATATTTCCTAAAGGGTGTTATGGTATAACTAGTATAGGTTTAGAAGAACGATGGTGACTTTGTATGATGTACCGTCTGTAGGCCAAACTGCTCAGTTTTGCTTTAGTTCCTAAAATCATATTATTGGACCATGTTTTGTTAAAGTATTTCGCTATGATATCAAAAGACGAACTTTTTATATGAGGCTAAAATATTGGTATTGATCTTCTAGATCAAACTTCATACTCAGAAAGTTTCCTCAGTCTTGATAAGATATTCATTATCAATCAGATGCGAAAAAAAACGGAGCATTTATAAGTTAAGTGACTGATTTCTTCAGAAAAGTCTTTTAACAGTCATACAAACAACTTAACTGAATGATGATTTAAGGTATTACTCTAAATCAAGTCAACGATGTACCACACATTGGAAGTTAAGAGTTAACTAAACCACAAGTAATTTTAAAATGATCGAAATTAATGGCTGAATAAGCAAACTAAAATTACTATCCCATTGGTAGATCCCCATGTTTGTTTTAGCATCACACATAATACTTATAATTAAATGTGTATAACCTAAAATACAGACTTATTTAGACAGTAAATACGCTTCATAAAAAGTACTCTGTCAAATCGTACATTGTATATTCTGAGTTAAACTATGTATTCAAAGAATGAATTCATTTTCATCGAAATCATGTAGAGTTTCTTTACGGAGAGTAGAGTATGAAGTGTTAGGATGTTGATAATCGGTCCTTTCTTTTACTTGGTTAGTTGCGATATGATCAGATCAGTTTTAAGGAAGTTGATAATAAGTACTAACTGTAGCTAAAAATCAAATGAGAATCAGGAAGTATTGGCCGTATTAACAAATAAACAATTATGACTTTACCGACGCACGAATTCAGAAGCTTCATGTCTCATGTGGTATAGGTCTCTTGTAAACAGGGATTCGTAACTTCCCATCTCATCATCTCTCCATCTCAAAATTAAAGAAGTGAAAGCTTGAATCATTTTCCTTCTTCAAAAGTACATTTAATCGGTGTTTGTGATGCTCAAAATGAGTAAAATATCATTCAAATTGGATTTATTGTCGCAGATAACGCAAGTATTGTATACATTCCGTTCATACGAACAATATTTATAGATGGTCATCTTTGTATATGATTTGTATGTTTTTGCTTGACCATACTAGATAAACACTGAATTTGAGTGTTTCCTAATTGTAAACTAGAAAATCTTTTACTCTATTCACTAATCTAAATAATCATTTTCAATAGAGCTTTGTCCCATATGTTTAACCTCCTAACACATCTCATACAATCATGGCTTTTCTGAAGCTAATGAACAATCAATAATGAACTCTTATTACTATTTTAATGTGAAAATTATATTAGAAATAATCTCAGCGATTGAAATTTAAATGGTGCCAACTTTTCGCGCAGCTGACTTGTCTGGACATCTTCAAGGTGATTCCAGAGTATTTCAATTATTTGTGAATACAGTGAATACGAATAAATTATAAATCTAAATTTAACACTACTCATGAGTATTTTGAGAGTGTCGAATAAATAAGTTGACATTATGTGTACAGTTGTATGTATAGAGTTGTTAGCTGATGTGAACACAGGCGTTAGTTTAATCGACAATGTACATTTTTTAAGTTTTATGCTATTCACCAGTATAATATGTTTTTGCATTTACTCGACGAGATTTATGAAACATTTTATTCACAGTATATAATTCGGCTTATAGTGATTACCACATAACCATTTATCTGAACTTGGTACGAGTGCTTTCAATTTTCGACATCACCCTTGTATTCAATAATATTGAGAGTTAAGGATGAGTTTTCAAGTGAATTGTTGTCAACTGATTTCTTCTAATTTAGAAAAATAAGCCTAATCATTGATATCCATTATTTCAAGTCCTCATACTTCAAGTAAGTTTAAATTTCATTCTCACGATACTCAACAGTGTTGATAATGGAAATGAAAATACTACGATGCTTATTTATGGTCATATTTTTACCAACAAATAAAGCAAGGAGATGAAAAATAGAAATAGTTAATTTTGAGGCTTAGTCACTTATCTAAATATCTACAGTATATGTTATATCCAGTAAATTTATTTGCTAAATATAGCTAGATAGTAGAAAATTATTTGTTCTTTTGTAACTAACCACATAAAAATGTAGTTATGTTTAACTTATTTAACATACAAAACTAAAGACTAGAGTGGATTGGTTGAAGTTAGACATTAACACCATTGGATGCCGGTTCAGTGGTCTAGTGGTTAAGCGCTCGCACGCGGAACTAATAAGTCCTGGGTTCGAATCCTGCGAGGCGATGTCGTGGATGCGTCGTTTAGTGCTTCCAGGTTTTCCATGGTGATCTAGCTTCAATCGACGAACGAATTCAACTACTAAATTAAAGACAAATACTTTGACATTCGAATTAAATTTTCACTAATATTTAACAAGGTTTATTGTGATTAAGTCATTTACTAGTCTTTATTCAAGTAAATATTTGAGTATATAGTAGTATATTGTAAAAAATACAGAAAATTAAGGATTCTGGAAATGATGTATTTCAATTCTAAACTTCCTACTGTAAATCAATATTCATTTTTATTATGCAACTAAACAGAGATTTCTGTGATAGACTGTTAGATAAAAGCATATATATTTATTTATTATAAATCGAATTCATTCAATTCGCACTTGTATGTTGATATTATATAAGTATTTGATTTTCATACTCATTACATAGCAATAATGATAAAGTGTACTTTGATGATCCATATATATATGACTGGGGTTTGTGTTATTCATGGCCAATCACCACGTACTCCGATATGAAATCGTTATAGAGATAGGAATATGTTGAAAGTACTCTATTAATGTTCAAAATAAGATGTGCCATAAGTACATGATATTACTGTCTAAAATAATAATAATAATCTTCACAACCCCATAATGATAATTACCATGTGATCACTAGTAATTAGCTTCGAAAGGGAATTGTTGGAGTTCTAATGAGAAGTCGTGACCAGTGGAGCTAATCCGTGCCGGGTAGAGACAGGTATCAACCTCAGTACAGTAAAACATGGTCGCGCTATTTCGTGGATTGGTCGAGGTTAGAAATTAACACCGTTGGATACCGGCTTAGAAGTCTAGTGGTTAAGCGTTCGTGCGCAAGACCGAAGGCCTTGGGTTTGAATCCCGACAGCGGGATCGTGGATGCACACTGCTGAGGAGTTTCAAAATAGGAATAAACAGCCGCCCAATGTTTCCGGGTTTTCAATGGTGGTCTCACATCAATCGGTTCATGATCTCAATCAAAAACTTAATAATCTCCACAACCCCATACTAATAATAAATTCTCCGATTGGATTGCATGTAATAATTTTGAAATGACTTCAAATAAGTTAAAATGGCATGAATGTACTAGATATTTTTCTTCTCAGGTCTTGACTTATAATACTATTTTATACTTTTCATTTATCGGTTTTATCTGAAATTTTCAAGCCGTATTCACTATTTTAAACTTTCTTCGAGATATCATAAACCTTTATGTTAATTCTACATTTCTACTAGGCATATTAATAATTTCTACTTGCTATACTCGTGTAACTTATGAAGACTTGAAGTGATGCACATTTTTACCTCCATCGTGTGCTTTTTACAATTAACTGATTTATTTCTTTTCAGTAATGTGTATAGTTTATGGTTATTGAGTGTAAGAATTGTAAGAAATATAAATTTCATGAATGTAAAAAGTTAACGTTAGTTGTTCTTTCAATAGTTGAGATCATGAGTCATTTGAAGCTAGACCACCATGGGAAACCTGGAAGTACTGGACTCACTGAAGACAAAGGTGGATGTGTCGCTCGATTTCGTGAATTAGTTGAAGTTAGATATTAACACCGTTGAGCGCCAGCTCAATGGTCTAGAGGTTAAGCGTTCGCGCACGAGACTAATGAGTCGTGAGTTCGTATCTCTCGAGACGGGATCGTGGATGCTGCTAAGGAGTTCCACAATGGGATGAAATGGCTGTTCAATTCTTCCAGGTTTTCCATTGTGATCTAGCTTCAATTGACTGATGATATCAACTATTGAAATTACTATAATATCCACAAAAACCCCTCCTGATAAGTTGTTGTGTTTAAAAACTAAACACGATTTATTTCTCTTTAAAAATATCGTTACATCTATATTCTTTATTACCAAGAGTTTATGGCAATGTATGATTTTATAAGAATTTTGAATGATTAGTTTCACAATTAGTTGAACATTGAATTCATAAAGGAATACCATCAATAAATAACTCAATTTTTGATATTGGATGGTTTTCCTGAAGGAGCCTGTATAAGAATGTCAAGTGAAAGGTTGGAGTTATTTGAATTTGAATTCCTGAGACTCTTTTTTACGAATATAATTTATCTTTTAATGTCACTGATCTAGTCATAATAAGTTAAGTTAAGTACTGGACTCGTTTACATTAATCTCTTGCTTTTGAAATATATTTAAAACATTATGGTTATATATACAGCTGAAATTAATTACTTCTTTATCATTCCTTGCTTTATATCATAAGCTATCTACTGTATCCTATTTAGTAGTTATATATATTTATAGCATATTCTATAACAAACACAAAGGAAGA